TTTATAAAGAATATCTCTTTGGATTTGAGACTCTAGTCTTTGCAACTTTACAGATCTTCTTTATGCACCAAGAGCTTGTAACACTCCAAAGAGAAAGGAAAAAATGAAATTGCATCATATGACCCCTTTAAAATGTAAGACATCCTGGAAACAGTGATTTTGAAAAAATCTATATAGAATAGAATAGAAATAGAAAAAAATATAAATATATAATTAAAATGATATATAAATTACATAAAATGTAAAAATAAGATATAAGGATAATATTTTTCACACTACAGTGAGCAACAGAGAACTGGGGAAAAGAATACAATAATAAAACAAAATATGCACAAAATCTTAATGGTCTTAACAATAGCCTTCTTTTTCCTTTATGCAATAAATATTTTATTTTGATCTTTTGATTCTGGGCTGAAATATGACCCAGGCATTTTTTGTGAGACTCAGCCATCTAGGTATTTTTTTTCTGTGTTTGTTACTGAACTGCTCGGACTTAAAAATCATAGTGTCCAACGCGTCACACTTATATTAATGTTATTTATAAATTTTGGTCCTCACTACATCAATGGCAGTTTAGTTATATAACTGACCTGGTCTGGAAATGTCAGTGACTGGGCTTTATGTGCAGGACGAACCGGAGTTCTTGAGGAGCTTCGAGAGAAAGAGAGAGAGACAGACAGAGATGGTGAAGATGCACAAAAAAGGTGTGAATGAGAGAGGCTGATCATCTCTCCCATTCTCTTCTTCCCTTCTCTTTTCTCTGCGTTACACTCTCTCGGAGCGCGATGGCTCTCTTCCTCTCGCTTGTTTGGCTGTACCCTGCTGAATCTCTTGAGATGGAACTGTTGTGCTCTGGCTGAGATTCTAAGGCAATGTCACATTACATATCAAAATGTACAACATCTATACATTGTGCAGTTGTGAGCGGAGGGTGAGATGTGCGGATGAGATGTGGCGTGTGGCGGCTCTATAGAACAGTGGCCTCCATCACTATGGCTGGATCCTCTATGTCAGCTTTACTCTGGACCATCCGTAACTCCAGCTGGGCCGGGCTTGGTCTTCTACCAGGACCTGCCATCTCTGAAAATACACCTTTAAAGTTGTCCATATGAAGTTCTTAGCAATGCATATTACTGATCAAAAATTAAGTTTTGATATATTTACGGTAGGAGATTTACAAAATATCTTCATGGAACATAATCTTTAATTAATATCCTAATGATATTTGGCATAAAAGAAAAATCTATAATTTTGACCCATACAATGTATTTTTGGCTATTGCTACAAATATACCCCAGCGACTTAAGACTGCTTTTGTGCTCCAGGGTCACATTTAACAACTTGTTCATTTTTGAGGTTGGCTACAACATATCTTTTCAATGTTCAGGTATCTTATCAAGAACCACAGTGAGCAAAGCTTTCTGGGTAAATCTCACAAAGAAAAGTCAAAGCCATACTAAACTCCCAAATCAAAAGATAAAAACACAGAATTATATTTTGCATAAAGAAAATTATTTCGAATAAAGAAAATCTATGTTTAGGACCAACACTTTTTGCAATGTGACAAATAATCACATTTCATCACTGAAAAAACATTGTGCAGTTGTGAGCGGAGGGTGAGATGTGTGGATGAGATGTGGCGTGTGGCGGCTCTATAGAACAGTGGCCTCCATCACTATGGCTGGATCCTCTATGTCAGCTTTACTCTGGACCATCCGTAACTCCAGCTGGGCCGGGCTTGGTCTTCTACCAGGACCTGCCATCTCTGAAAATACAAGAGAGAGAGCGAGAGAGAGAGAGACAGAGAGAGAAACATTTCAATGAAACAAGCTTATTGTCACTCATTCATTTACATACACTACTGTTTAAGTTTGGGGTCGGTAAGATCTTGTAATGTTTTTGAAAGAAGTCTTTCATGCTCACCAAGACTACATTTATTTGAACACAAATACAGTAAAAACTAGACAATATTGTGAAATATTACTACAATTTAAAATAACCGTTTTCTTTTTTAATATTTTAAAAAATGTAATTTATTCCTGTAATGTAAACCTGAATTTTTAGCATCATTACTCCAGTCTTCAGTGTCACATGATCCTTCAGAGATCATTCTAATATGCTGATTTGCTGCACAACAAACATTTCTTATTATCATCATCAGTTGAAAACAGTTGTGCAGCTTAATATTTTTCTGGAAACTGTGACATATTTTCAAGATTCCTTGATGACTATAAAGTTCAAAAGAACAGCAATTATTTGAAATGGAAATATTTTGTAACATTATAAATGTCTTTACTGTCACTTTTGATCAATTTAATGTGTTCTTGCTTAATAAAAGTATTAATTTCTTTACACAAAATCCTACAGACCCCAAACGGTAGTGTATATACATAAAAAATGATAGTGATGCATGAAATACATGCTTAGACTTTTCAATGGCCATAACTGTTCACCAAACAAATGCATAAGTAAATATCCTATGTTTTGATTAAGATTTTTATAATTTTAAGAGTTACAAAATATTGAATATAAAATTCTATATTGAAATATTACAAAAAATTACTTTAAGTGTTTTTTTTCCCATTTTTAAATATTTAATGGATTTCATTACTTCATACTGTTGCAAAATACCTGAAAAACATCACGCACTGCTTATTTATTTGTATTTTTGTTCTTTGTTTTATTATTGACTTAATTACTTAAAAAATAAAACAATGTTTACTTACATAAAAAATACTTTTAGGCTCATGTCACGGCTTTAATTTGTTAATGCTATATTGTTTAACCTTTTAAATACAAGAGTGTGTTCAGTAATATATTAGTTTTTGTTGTTGGTATCGCCTGATGCTGAAAATGTTGTATTGACAACCCTACACCATGCATATACATATCAAATAAACAACTTTTTGCTGTTGTTTTACCATGGGCATAAGATATAGTCCTCTGAATGACATGGTGCATGACGGAGAAAGTCTTCTCACATGCCGTCTGCGAAGAACAGAATAACAGTGAGAAAGAGATTTGATCAGCATTTTTTTACTATGCTGCATGATCACTGTGATGCATTTATGATATATTGTTTTATTGTGCTGTACTTTGAGGTCTGTTGGGTAATGGTGAGTCCAGGCCAACAGCATAGCAGCAAATAGATCACCGGTCCCCACAAACACCGCGTCCACCTTCGGCACCTCTATTCGGATCCGCTGGGTCGTCCTTGTACCGTCCGGCATCACTGCAGAAACATGGCTACTTTATTCTGCATTCTTCACAAGAACTTATCATACATGAACCAGCCCTGATCTTTAACCACTAGGCTACACAATCCCATGTAGGCTGTTCAAAGAAATATCTAAAAAATAAATATAAAAATATCTGAATTCATATGCATTCCAATAAGCTCTCATAATTGCGAATTTTGTCATTGGTCAAATCTACACACAGTGCTATTATCTTTCACTGCTCAGCAGTCCGACATGTTTTTAAATTCATGACAAAGCAATTTTGAGCTGCACAGGAAGCACACACACTTACAAATGCGCTGACTGCCAAAAGACACCAGGAATCTGTCTCCGAGACGAGGGGGTAGATCAGAGCTGGTGATGACCACGGTGTCTGGACCCATCTTATGCAGCAGGTCCATCACCTGAACACACACACACACACACACACACAGACACAGTCAGAGACCTCGATCGGGGGCCAGTAACTTTGTTTCAATTTTCAAAAGTTCCAACAAAATACAGACAACTGTCTCCAAAGGGTTCACAAAAATAATGATATAAAAATCATTATAAAAAATTATAATGATTTACATTACAGTAATAATAATAATAATAATATACTAGTAGATAAGATTATAATAATAAGGATAATGATTTTAAATGACTACTACTACTATTATTATTATTAATTATATCTTTTAGTATAATATTAGATAATATTATGATAACAACAGCAACTTTTAAATATTATTTTTATTATTGTTCTTTCCTTATTATATTACTTCTTATTATCAATAATAACTATAACAACAATTATAATCATTATTATTATTTACATAACAGTAATAATAATACGAATATATTAGATAAGGTAAAAATAAAAGAATAATTTTAAAACATTATTGACAATAATAATAATTATTACATTACAACAACAACAATAAATGTTTATTTTTATTGCTCTCATTGATAATAACATTTATGATTAATAATAATAATAATTATTATTTTAATTAAGAATATTTTACAATTATTTGTATTATCATTAATTTAATATTAGATAATAATAATAATAATAATTATATAGTAATAAATAATATCTAATAAAGTAATATATATAATATATCATAAGATAATAACAATATATAAGATAATACTATTAAAAACATTATTTTTATTACTGATAATAATAATATTAAAACAACAATAAATATTTTTTATTGCTCTCATTGATAACATTTATTAATAATAATAATAATAACAACAATTATTATTATTTTTAATCAACAATATTTTAGAAAATTATTTGTATTACTAATTAAATAATATAATACAGTAATATATTAATAATAATACAGTAATAAATAAATAATATATAATAAGATAACAGTAATAAAAACATTCATTGTATTACTACTACTACTACTACTACTACTACTAATAAAAAATAACAATAAAATGTGGAAATTTGGGGTGTGTGTATCATTTGCTGCTAGTGCATCTAATTTATATTCAGACATTTATTTCTGCCTCCCATTTTTTTAAAGGCTATTATGGGGCATGATGCATTTCAATTCACCTCAACAGCATCTTTCTCTGTGCTGATATTCTTCCCTGTCAACAACCTGGAATAAAGAACATGGAGTTAGAAGAGTTGATTGCACATCAGTGTGATGTGAACAGCTGTGAGGCACTGAAGATTTATGGGTAAATCCACAGCTGACCACTAGAGGGAACTACAATATCACTCTTCTGTCATACTGAAGCAGGTGAGGGGCTAGACAGAGGTTTGACAGTTGCAGCACAGAAACAGCCAATCACAGCCAATAACACACACAAAGCTGTTGAGAGGAGGTATTCTACTCACTCAGCCTCAAACTGGTTGGGTGTGATGATATCGGCCACAGGCACCACTTTATTCTTGTACACAGGATGGAGATTCTGAGGAACATACTGCAAAAGTCAAAGAGTACTATGAAAAATAAATGTCACCATTTTTCCGAATTCTATTTCCTATATAATGAACAGAATGGATCAGAAGACAAAAAAAACTGAATGAGAGGAACAAGAACACAAGTTAACTTACCATTGAACCATGGTCACCTAAGACAGGGTCACAAACTGAGAAAAACAGAGTAAAACAAGGTATACTTTAATGTGCAAGGTTAATGTACACTAGCGTTCAAAAGTCTGGGGTCGCGAAGAGTAAATGTTTTTAAAGGAAGTATCTTATGCTCACCAAGGCTGCATTTATTTGATCAAAAAACAAGAAATATTACAATTTTAAATATTACTAATGTAACAGGCAACTGTTACACCGTGTCTACACCGGACGCGACAGCTAAAGTCTGTCTACACTGACTGGACACGACAAAGCGACCGTTGAAAATCTCATAAATAGAACGTGACAGCAATTTACTGTCGCTCAAGAAACATTTATTATTATTATCAACGTTGAAAACAGTTGTGCTGCTAAATATTTTAGTGGAAACTGATACATTTTGATTCTTTGATCAACAATAAAGTTCAAAAGAACAGCATTTATTTGAAATAGAAATCTTTTGTGACATTATAAATGTCTTTACTGTCACTTTTGAGCAATGCAACGCATCCTGGCTGAATAAAAGTATTAATTGCTTTAAAACAATCTTACTGACCCCAATATTTTTGATGGCATTATTATATAAACACACTTGTAAAAACAATATATAATGTATCAAATCTATACAGCTTTTGTTAACCTAGGACGAGAGACTGAAAAACACTCACCATATACAAGGTTAGGATTGGCCCTCTTCAGCTCTTGAACAATGTCAACCACCATCTCCAGAAACGATGTATCTCTAGTGTAACCTGCAGTAATAGAGAGAGAAGAGCTTTGATCAATACTTTGCTTTTCTTACCAGCATCTTACTCTTGATCTTTGACTCCATTCGTCCCAGATCAAAATGTTCCTTCTGCCTGGAGTACAAAAACTGACCACTCAGCACAAGCACGAGGATCAGTCTTGGGTCATTCTCATTCTTTGAGCCTGAGAATTTTAAAACCAGTAAGGTGGATACAATTTTTTTAATGATACAGGCCACCTGTGGTTAATTAGGGTTGGGCCGATAAGACGATGCCATCGTCCATCGCCGATGGCTGATAGACATTACGATGTTGAGCTGGTCATCTCTCCTTACTCTGTTTATGTGGTAAGTGAAATTTTATGTACTGTAATGTAACAGGCAACTGTTACACCGTGTCTACACCGGACGCGACAGCTAAAGTCTGTCTACACTGACTGGACACGACAAAGCGACCGTTGAAAATCTCATAAATAGAACGTGACAGCAATTTACTGTCGGGATTTGTCGTGTCGCGCCGCGCCGCATCCAGTGTAGACAGCATCACTGATTATAATGAGTTCTATACTGATCTATATATAATAAATCTCTATTATAGATCAGTGGTTCTATAGTATTTTGTCGCGCCGCACCGCGCCGCTCGCGTCCGGTGTAGACACGGTGTTAGGAATCCTGTTTTCCCTTATAAGGATTCACGCTTCGGTCAGCACGTCATAAATAGAACGCGGCAGCAGTTTACTGTCGGGGATTTGTCATGTCGCGTCGCATCCAGTGTAGACAGCATCACTGATTATAATGAGTTCTATACTGATCTATATATAATAAATCTCTATTATAGATCAGTGGTTCTATAGTATTTTGTCGCGCCGCACCGCGCCGCTCGCGTCCGGTGTAGACACGGTGTTAGGAATCCTGTTTTCCCTTATAAGGATTCACGCTTCGGGCACACCCCCTAACTCCACCCCTCCCCCTGCTCGCCCCCGCCCCCACAGATGTCATCGTCCATCGCGATGTTTCACTGTAGACATCGCCCAAACCTAGTGGTTATTACTACAATACAGGGAATTTGTGGGTGAAAACGTGTCAGAATTATGCCGTCTTTGCTATAAATACTTGAAGAAATGATTTTATTTCAGAAGTCTGAAAAGAATCAGAACACCACAATATACTCTTTGTTATGTGTGTATTAAATTAACAGACTTGGAACTCAATAAACGCATCAAAGCATGCACTATATCAAAGGAAGTGACAATAAATATCAACATTTATTTGAGTTGGGACCGCTCTGAAATTTCCAGGGCCAATCTGCAGGTATGGGTCATGTGGCAGCTCTGTCTCTCCAGTCAGGTAAATAAATCCTACATGTGACTCATCTGACCTTCAGAGCTTTTCATGTGTCACACACTAAATCGCACTGCGACAATACAAGCCACTAGCAAGAGAGGCATGCAGAAGGGTCCAACAGAAGTTACAATTTTCACATTACCACATCACAGCTGGGATTAGAAATAGTGCACTAGAAATAGAGCCTAGGCATTAGGATAGATAGTCAATATACAGGTGGGATACAGAATGAGTGCTCTGAAAACAAAACACTGACAACCACCAAAATCAACTCATGTTATTAAACCGTCAATACAAGAGAACCCCTTTTTCTTGAGATTTTGAAATGGTCTGGTTTTGATGTTAAAAGTAAATATACACTACAGTTGAAAAGTTTGGGATCGGTACAACTTAATGTGTTTGAAAGAAGTCTCTTATGTTCACAAAGGCTGTATTTATTTGAACAAAAATACAGTAAAATCAGTAATACTGTGAAATATTATTACAATTTAAAATAACTATTTTCTATTTGAATATATTTTAAAGTGTAACTTATTCCTGTGATTACAAAGTTGAATATTCAGCATCTTTACTCCAGTCTTCAGTGCCACATGATCCATCAGAAATCATTCTAATATGCTGATTTGCTGCTCAAGAAACATTTCTTATCATCAGTGTTGAAAACAGTTGTGCTGCTTCATATTTTTGTGGAAACTGTGATATATTGTTTTCAAGATTGGTTGATGAATATAAAGTTCAAAAGAACAGCATTTATTTAGAATAGAAATCTTCTGTAACATAAACTATCAATTTTGTTCAATTGAATGCATCCTTGCTGAATAAAAGCATTCATTTCTTTCAATTAAAAATAAATCTTCTGTTCTGACCCAAATATTTTGAACGGTAGTGCACACACAATAAGCCACAAAACAACTAAAGCTATTTACATTTAAGCAAAATAAAATAATCCCGATACATATGCATTTTATATCTTATTTGTGTTCAGATGGAGCTAAACATATTTTTACTGTTTAAAAGTGTGTGAAAAGGTCTCACATGGCTCTCTATTCCTATGTTCTCCTTTCCTCTTTAGCCATTCTGTGCTTTCCTCTCTTCCTTCTCTTCTCAAGGTGATGGTAAAGGAGAGCCCATGCACCAGAGACTTCTCGCTCGCTAACACACTCAACAGAGCACATATTTCTCCGGTGCTGGTACGAGACCTGCGACTCTATGACCCTGTGTCCTCTACGGTCCCCTGGTGCTGATTAGCAGCGTTGTTAGAGGGGGAGAGAGAGATGTGTTCACTTCCTCTCTGACTCCAGACAACACGACACAATCCTACTGGATGCACAATACAAACAAATCAGCTCGATTATTTGATTTTCTGAAGAAAAGGGGGGCTTGCCAATGAGATGCTCAATGCCACAATGTTGAATTTGGATCCTATGGGAGCTTCTTCAGTGCCTGGAACTTTTTACATACCAGGTTGATTTTTATAATAAATCTAATTTGAATCTAAGCTATGAAAATCGATCATAAAATACATTAAGTTTCCACAAAAATATTAAGCAGCACAACTGTTTTCAACACTGACAATAATAAGAAATGTTTGTTGAACAGCAAATCAGCACATTAGAATGATTTCTGAAGGATCATGTGACAATCAGCTTGAAAATCAGCTTTTCCATTACAGGATTTAACTACATTTTATAATATCTTAAAATAAAGAGTTATTTAAATTGTAATAATATTTCACAATATTACAGTTTAACAGTATTTTTTATCAAATAAATGTAGCCTTGATCAGTATAAGAGATTTCTTTAAAAAAAAAAAAAAAAACTTTTGAATGGTAGTGTATTTAAAATATTTTTCATAGCTGGTGTCTTCCACAACCAACAATTTTGCCACTAATTTTTTTTTTTTTTACTTTTTATTAGATTTTCAAAAGAACACAAAAATAAATAAAAATAAGCCAGAACCGAACAAAACAAAAATAAGAAACAAATTCTGTCAGCACTACCTACCTATAAGATGAATACTTTACATGACATAGTAATACCCTAAATATGAGTACTTCACAATTCTAAGGAGATACATATTACTACCTAATGAACAGGTCACAAATAAATTCTACAACTCTTTGCCAAGCCTGTACCGTTCTTGGTTTAGCTTTGTTAAATCTAGCTAAAGAGCATTCCATATTAACTATATGTTGCATATTCAATAACCACAGTCTTGAGATGTCTGCCTTAGAGTCCCACCAAAGTGCAATTATTGTTTTCTTTGCTGCAGTGAAACCTGAAAAAAAGAGTCATTTTGTCCATTGTGCCAAGGTTCAAAGAGGAGTCATCATTCAGCAAGCACAGGCAAGGATCCGGAGTGATCTTACAGTTAATCAGTTCTTCTAAGTCCCGACAAACTTGACTGATTATCCAAAAATGACTGATTATTGATCATTCCCAAAACATATGATACATTGTACCAACTACAGATTTTTGACATATAGTGCAGTTAGGATCAGATGTTAATCCCGTTCTGTATCATCTATATGGCGTCGCATAAGCTCTATGGATGGTTTTAAAATGAATAAGTTGGTGACTCCAATTTCGAGATGTTTCACTCATATTTGACCATACCATAAGCCAATCAGGACGAAGTCCAGCCTGTTCTAAATCCTTTTCCCACACTACCTCAATTGACAAACGTTTACACTGTGTTTTTAAAAGAGAGTTATAAATTTGTGAAACCAGGCTTCTAGACTCTTTTGCAGGATCAAACAATCCTGCCATTGGGTGCGAAGGTAGTGATGTGTTCCATGGAACTCCGTAAGCCTTCATGGCTGATCTCAGTCTCAAATAAAGAAAAAAAGAAGAACCAGGTATGTCAAACAAAGTCTGTAAATTATGAAATGAATATAAACCATCTTTACTATAGATATCTCCCAGTGTGCAAATCCCCTTAGAGGCCCAAAGTGGGCATTTGAAAGGTTTCTTTCCTGTCAATATATTAGTATTATTCCATGGGGGGAAAGTTTATGAAATTTAGGTACCGTTTTAAACAGTTTCTCTGCTTTTTTCCATACTGCCAAACAATGAGCAATTATAGTGCCAAATTTAACTTTAAATTTCTTGCCTTTTAAATCTGTGTATGGAAGATCTTGAAGCCTATTAGGCTGCACTAATGCGGTCTCTATGGATTTCCAAGGCACCTTACAATTCTCGTCCATCCAGACCCTTAAAGCTCTTAGATGAAACGCCCAGTAATAAAGTTTTAAGTTAGGGAGAGACAACCCTCCCATCAATTTAGGACGCTGCAAAGTGGAAGACTTAATTCTAGCTCGTTTATTGTTCCATATGAATTTGGAGATCAAAGATTGGGTTTGCTCAAGAAACTTAGGTGGAGGAGAAATTGGAATCATGAAAAACAAGAAATTGAGGCGAGGAAGAATGTTCATCTTAACAATAGAAATTCTTCCTTGTAAAGAAATTGGGAGAGTATTCCAATGCTGTAGATCTTCTGTCACCTTTTGAGAGATTTCCCTATAATTTTTGTGAATAATTTCTGATAACTTTGCGTATATTTTAAATTCCTAAATAAGAAATATCATTACTTACAGGAATGCAGGGAGGATATTGAACATTAGTGGCAGATGAATTTAGAGGGAGTAGTGTGGATTTATGCCAATTTTTTATAACCTGCTAAATTCTTAAATTCATTGAACAGGGATAACACTTGTGAGATTGATACTTTGACGTTGGAGAGGAACAAAAGAATGTCATCTGCATAAAGTGATATAGAATGTTTAGAGCCATGAACAACAATGGGGTATATAGATTTGTGCTCTCTTATGGCTTGTGCAAGGGGTTCGAATGAGAACACAAATAATAATGGTGAAAGAGGGCAGCCTTGTCGTGTGCCCCTCTGCAATGGAAGAGGTAAAGACTGACATGTGCCTGTGATAACAGAGGCCAGGGGAGTTTCGTATAAGATTTGTATCATAGATAAAAATCTTGGACTGAATCCCAAATGTTTCATTACTGCCCACAGGTATGGCCACTCCAGCCTGTTAAAGGCCTTTTCTGCGTCCAAAGAGAGCACAGCCCAGTCTTCAGTAAACAATTCTAATTTTGCCACTAATAAAGATATATCAAAATTCAGTGTACCTGGTTACAATGCTTGAGATGAAATACGAGACATGATGTGTGAAAAAAAATTAAAAAGCTTTTTATAACTAATCTCTTAAAATCAAGTTGTAATTTTGTCAAATTATGCAAAACGTGTGAAATACTGGACAAAAACCATTAAAAAAAAATTGTATGAAAAATATTGTAAAAATATAAATTTTTTTATGAAAATGTGAAAATATTGTACAAATATTATGCAAAATGTGTATATTTGGTATATGTAAAATATCAGCAATGAAATTAAATCAACTGAAATGTAAACTGTTCAAACACTTTCTCCCACTCTCACTAGTTTACTTTCTAGAAGTCCACAGATGAAACAAAATTGCCTGTAGCTGAAGATATCTACACAGACAAAAGAGGCCCCTCTCTATGGTCCCTATGATATTATGACCTTTAGATATGGTGCCGGGCTGTCCCGGGGCCTCTAGGGTCCCACATACGGCCCGTGTACATTGTTTTATGCCATCACAGAATTACATCATTCCATATTTTTCATCCCTCCCCTCAATAAATTACTAAGCATGCAAATAATCCATAGTAGTCGTGTGTCAAATAGAGATGCATTGGCATGAATGGCAGTCAAAGAACTGACCTGTAAGTACATAGTCGTAGTGGTTGACGTTGTTGAGCTTGATCCCTTCATACAGGACATGAAGCTCATCTGCAGTCAAGACCTGTCCCTTCCAGTGAGAGTACCCTGAATAAAGACAGATCACAGATCAAATACACAGAAATCAGATTAAAAATCCAGCGGTGATGCAGAGCGTCCGCTGACGTTCGAGATGCTACGAGCATGAAGATCTCGTTTGGTCACATGACACTTTCCGCACCACAGAATGAACAGAAGCGCCACCGCTTCATCAGACACCATTACTGTTGCCGCGGGAGCTGTGATGTCACAATTCAGGTGAGTCACCGAGCTGGTCACATGGTATGTTTCTAGTTGCTAAGAAACAGGACAGAGGAAAGCCTGAGGGGCTGGATGAAAAAGACGCATCATTGTAGCCTTGATGTGTGTGTGTGTGTGTGTGTGTGTGTGTGTAAGTGTGTGAGTGTTATGGGGAGAAGATGACTGCAAAGGGGAATCTTTGATAAGACGGGTGTCTGTCGTCATCATTTTCTGCTGCCGCAACTCTGCAAAGCCTCTCGGCTGGAACCACAAAACCTCTAATCCCAGTCACTTCACCCACACGTATCATGCAGATACTCTATTTCACACCAAATCACGATCAGGGAAAGCATTGAGAAGATGCCGCATGAGGTGCATGCTGTTTCTACCCATAAGGCTTTGCAGTGCCCATTGATATTCTGAACAGAGATGAAGTTCTGGACGTCATAACCTGTAAAAATATATCCAAGGTCGAACTATAAAGTGCTAGAGGGATGGTCCAGTTTGGAGATCTCCTTGCTGTCACATCAACAGGCAGAAAGTACCTTTAGATGCTGATTACCAAAAAATGTAACTGAATAATTACTATTACTTATCATCATGAACACATGGTGTGTCTCGAGTAAGAACTTAATTCTAAATGTTAATTCTTAATTCTAAACATTTAACCCAGTTATATGTTTGTACATTAACGAGACATGGCCAATGAACAGGTCAATGGACGCTGCATTGTCACCTCTATAAAGTAACGAGTAAACTAACAGAATTCAAAAATTCAAAAACGTAAGGATGCACTGATAATGATGATACACCACTAATTACACTACCGTTAAAAAGTTTGGGGTCAGTAAGTTTTTTATTTAATTGATTCTTTTTTTCAGCAAGGATGCAAAAAGTTCATTTTTTTTTTTAAATTATGGTCTTCTCTTCACAAACATATTAAGCATAATAAGAAATGTTTCTTGAGACCTAAATCAGCGTATTAGAATGATTTCTGAATGATCATGTGACATAGAAGAGTAATGGCTGCTGAAAATTAAGTAAATTAATTAATTTGCCATAACAGGAATGAATTACATTTTTAAATACATTAAAATGGAAAACAGTTCTTTTAAATTGTCATATTTCACAATATTACTTTTTTTAAAATTTTTTTTTACTGTTTTTGATTGAATAAATGCAGCCTTGGTAAGCATAGGAGACATCTTTCAAAAACAAAGCAAACATCTTACAGATTGCAAACTTTTGAACTGTGTTTTTGTTATGGTCAATAACCAATAAATGGCTGATGTAGAGAATCTATAATATCATAATATCTCTTGTAAAAAAAAAAAAGCTTCCACTGCTCACTAAAAAACTATTTTACTTTTTAGTGGAGTAATCAAAGTGAGCAGTGGAAGATGGACAAATATTACTTTCAAAAGGTGCTATAAAAAAGTATCATATTTGAATGAGAAAAAAGGGCTCATAATAGTAGAGCGGGGAAATATCTAATATTGGCCAATAATGATCAAACTGCCAACATCAAATGACCCATATGGTGCAAATATACTGCATTCCTACCATAAACTATCAATCAAATTTTATAAAAGGATAAATTAAACATTTTCGATTAATAAATTGAATCATAATTTTGCAGCTGGCCTAAGACGACTCAAGTGCTGAACTAGTTTTTTTTTTCTTTAGCATGAAGTAACATCATGGATATATATACATCCTGGTACTCAGTTAGCTGCTGGTTTGGAAATACTTAGTAAGCCAGCAGCACATGAGTCTGTGTCCCTCTGTCTATAGGCTTAAACGCTTTTGAAAAACCCAACTCAAGTGGCTAAAGACAACGTTGCAGCCCTGAGGAGAAGAAAGCATCCAGGCAGAGAGGGAGGCCGGTCACAGGGCTAAAGCCTACAGTAGGTTGTGCCACGTGTTGTTTAGACTACTGATCCGAGGCCAGTAAGGGTTATTCTACTTATGTGCTTTGAAATGGGATGCGTTTTTAAGAAGCTGATCCAGAAATTGTGTTGGGACGTTTAGCAGTGACAAATAAACATGTGACACCTGTGCATACATACATACCAGTTCTGGGTCACCAGAGGGAACTTTTCTAGTACTATATCAATTTTTCTCTCTCACACAGACTTCTTTAAAGGGACAGTTCAGAAAAAAATGAAAAGGATGTCATCTTCATTCATAATCAAATGTAAATGAATGGGTATAGGAGATTTCAGACTGCAAATCACCATTATAAAGCAAGTAGCCTATGAGAATCATGCAATATATTCCAAGTTCAAGAATATAATGCATAAGACAGGTAGACTTTATTTTGTGTTTTTTTTCTTCACTATCAAAAAAAACCCCAAACCTTTTGTGTCATGTTGGAGAGCATGAGGGGCAGTAAAAAAAAAAAAAAAAGCAACAAAGAAATGAGCAGTGTTCTGCTCTTAAGCAAAAAGATCTCAATCAAAACATAACAGGATATGTTTTAAAGGATCAGATTTGAAGTGCACTATCCAAAGAGGAGAAAACATATCACAATACTTCTACTCTCTTGAAGTACAGCGATCAGTGCTTGGTCTGTTTGGACAGCTCACTAACTACACTTTTCACACACATATCATAATGAACTGTCACAACATGTGAATGCAATATTGCATTAAGCACTTCAATGAAGCATCTGTTTTTTAATCATAAATTATAACCTGATCAGTCCAGGCAGCATGTCAGGTTAAACGAAAATAATAACTTGAAGAACACATTAATTTACATTTATAAAATCTGTAGTGATTTTTTTTTTGGTCAGTTCTGTCAGTGCCTGTTTGGGCATATGTTGTATTGTCATTATGACGCATAACTTCTTAATCTAACAAAAATCTAATGAAAAACCTGAACTCTTAATGTGCTGTTTAACACATTTTCAAAAATGATTCCATCTGGCTCCAATTATGACATCATACAGTAACACATTCTATTCATCAGTGCATCTGCGACATCATAGTAACAAATATGCTTCCACACAACATTTTAAATATTTTGAGACTCTTTAACTAAGCGAACCACACAATTACTTTTATCTAAAATGCTTTCAAATGACATTGCATCACTGTGACTAGCTGTTCTCCAAAAATCAGCAGAATGTTTGTGTCAGCCTACCTGTGTGGTTGGAGAACTGAACAGAGTTGATCGAGTCTACCTCAAACCCCAAGACCTGACAAACACACACACACACACACACATTCCAAACATGAAAAGAAGTTCCTTCAGAGAGTGACACAGATACATAAAGTACTCAGTGCAATAATCACAAGGGCATGTGATGGTCAGAATAAGAATATATACTATTCTTACACAATATGATTTTATCAGATGGTTAAACAAAAAAAATAAACTATCAGTCCCTTATTGAGCATCTGGTAACTTTAACACAGTTTTTATTCTGCTAGGCTCCATCCATTGTGTTAATAATCAAGCTATATAATGTTTAAGTGTCTGAACTTGACCAGCACATATTTCTGAAAGTCTAGCATATGCTTTTAACTTCCTAAATGATGACAACACATGCATATTAGTTGCTTTTAAGCCAGAGACCACAAAAGGTGCTGCATAACACAAATGAGTCACAGTATTATGGAAGTTAACACTTTTATAATATTGGCCTACTGAGGTTTGCTTATGTCAAGGTAAACATTAAAAGAATTTGAAGGGAAAATAAAGGGTGATTTCACATACTCTTTGCAGCAGTACTATTAGTAGTATTTGGGGTCATTCATATTCAACATTCATATGGTTATTATGGGTAACTTTAACAGCTTTTCTATCCTGCTAGGTTCAATCCATTGTATAAATAAACTATGATTAATAAAGTTTAGGTGTCTAATATATGCTTTTAAATCAATAGCTTCCTAAATGATCACACTAATAACACAGGCATAGTTGGTTTCAAGTTCAAGAGCTCAAAAGATGATGCATTATGCAAATGAGCCAGAAAAGTTAAAGCTTTAGTCTGACTACTGGAATGTGGTTATGTCAAACAATCACAGGAACATATTTTGAGGGAAAATAAAAGGTTAACTTCACTTACTATTAGTTCTATTAATACATGTACAGATTTGTTGTCTTTGCATGGGAACAAACATAAAGACAATTCCAAAACATGAGGGTTATCTAATCTAAAATAGCACTCTCTGTCACTGAAACACTCAAAAGTTTTAAAGATGAAACATTCAAATGCAGGATGCACGAGCGTGGGTTTTAGACGCGACTGGAAGAGCCTTTGAGCTTAGATTTGTATGTTTTTCATAGTGTTTCAAAAGAATTGTCATTCCAAACCTCTGTCTAAGTCTGTGCAACACTTTGACCTTTAAAAAAAAAAAAAAAAAAAAAAAAAAAAAGGTCACGATTTTGCTGGAATTGAGCCTCCCGGCTGTGACGTCAGTCTCGGAAACGTAAGCCAGCGCGAGCATGCAGAAGAAGGGCTCGAGTCATAAGAAGGTATGACAGCTGGAGCCATTCAAAACCTAATGAGCCTGGTTTAATTGTTTGGACGCGGTGCGATCCCTCATAACAAATTATCTTTCAGAAACCGAGATTCAATGATATCCGAATCATTTCTGGTAATGGTTAACGGCAGTGTCACTCCTCCTGGCTAGAGCTATAAGTTTCTGTGGCAAACAATTAGCCAAGTAACTATTAATAGGAACATATTTTAATCAAGAGGCCAAGTTCTGGGAATGAAACAGTCTAGACTCGGGATGAGGGAAGTTCACTACATAAATATCTCAAATTGCACAAGAACAGCATGCAAGGGAATACTGACCATGTGACCTTTCCTTTCTCCACCAGCAAGCCTGTCAAGCACTATAACATAATAATCACGAGTGTATTGTGCCGCGAGCCTCCGAGGAACGATGCTCACCTGTAACGGAAAGGATGCAGATTTATTGCCCACGTATCCTCTCACGACGTGACTCTGAATCGACAGCACTCGGCACTCCATAGTCGCGCGCAGTTAAAGCTGTTTTAGACGCTCCAGAATGTCACGCGATCGAGGGGCAGCGGCGAACCGGAGAGGTGCTTCTCTTCCCTTTTTTACATCCAAATTAGGATCCGTGGTGGCAAGTTCTCTAGGCAGTCAGAGAAATGAAGGACATTCACACTGGAGACGCTCATTGGCGGCGAGCGCATCTACTCGGGCATCCTGAGGGGGCACCTAAAATCCACTGACATCACGACGACGCTCGTAGAGCAGCGCTCGAGTCCGCTGTTAATAGAACCGTGGGCTATATTTATCATGCATTCAGGTAGAGAAGAATGGGCTGATGAAATCATCATGAATCTGTCATGTAAACCAAGGAGAAGCCGAGAAGCCTCAATAAATCCAGTTTGCATGGGGAATTATGAGTATTAGCAGATGTTGAAATTATATTAAAGATAAATATATGTATTTGTTGCCTTTCACTTATTTTTGCAGTTTGTGCACACCTTAAGAAATGACCTGTTATACAGCGATGCATTAGCGCAATAAACCGAAGTCTGTAGTGTTGCGGAAATGGGGTCCTTCTACACAAAGACGCGCTCTAGAATCCTCCAATCATTAGCGCAGTCAGCGATGACGTCAAGCCGTGAATGAGTGGTGTTTGACGTCACCACTGTCTGCAACCTGTGATGTCTATCCGCCTCTTTCTGAATTTTAATTCTGTCTATCCATGGACAATTAATTCTGTTGCTTTATTCTTTTTTCTTTAATAAATAGTTTTAAATAACATTTTGTCGTTTAGTTTCCCTTGAACAAAAAGTATAATAATACCTACTTCACATGTCCCCTAAACCACCAAATAAATTATAATTGTGCTTTTTTAGAAAGTAAAAGGCCTTTTAGTATAATTGTAAAATTGTCCACCTTCAGGTCATGGTACATTTGTCTTTTTGCCGTGAAATCTTTACTGATTTTTATAAAGTAAATTTAATAAAGTAGGCCAATAAAATAATACATTTTCAAGATGACAATTTAGGTTTACTTGATTATCCTTTTTTTTAAATTTTTTTTTAAATCATGTTAAAATGTATCAAATATGATACATCAGGCTTTTGAGTAATGTTTATTTGTACATCTCAATTATCTGTGTACTGCATTACACTATAATGTTTCCCCCTAAAATAAAAACTACAGAGCTTTGATATATCATAATACTAAGCATATAAATATCTTATTAAGACATTACTAGGAGATATAGAGTGACAACTCATTTATATCCATAAAGATCTCCATTTACATTACAAGCTATCAGAATTTCATGTTAAATAACAATATATGCAACAAAATTGCAAATGTTTTTCAGTTTGGGCCTCTAAACTATTTTTTTTTCTTTTATATATATATATATATATATATATGGTCTTAATTTTCAGTAAACTGTTCCATTTCAAAACAATTATATCTTTCTGACAATTATTTCATACATCAGGCCTTACAGGGTTAAACCTCAATACTTATTCTATTTAATATTTATGGTATAAAAACAACTATCCTAAATGCACTATATACTTTATTGTCCACTGAAGCTAAAATATTCTGACTCGTATGCAAAGCCTCAGGTCAGGACTCGACTATTTTTGCACAGGTGTGCTGGTAGCTTCAGGCTTTAGAAACCTAGTTCATCTTTTTTTATCTTTGGCCTGTTGCCTACCTGACTATGAATCTAAACGTACGAGCTCAGAGCAGTTTGTCTGGCCTCAGTGAAATGTGAGAGACTGAGAGAGCGGTTCTCTACCCCTTTTCTAAGGTGCTACAAAGAATGATTGAATATGAATCATTTAAAGAGCATATTTTAAAATAAAGCAAACCGTGAGGGACCAGCTCTAATCTTACCACTAAACGTAAACATTTCTTATTTTTTAGAGTGAAAAACACTATTTTCATATTACCTGAGGTGCTTTAAATATGATCTATTTTTTATAAGCCACTTTCGAATTGCCCTTAAGGTAGTTTTCCAGATTTTGTGTCTGGGGATATTTTTATTTTTTGCACATTTTGCACAAGTGTAAGTAGGAAACACACTCCCACATATGGACTCCAATATTTCTTTTTAAAATAATAATATTTTAATACGTGATCAGTTGAAAAAATCATTTCAAGGCTGTATGTACCGTTTTTCATACAAAATAATGAATTTGTCAGGGTTACAGATATTCTTTTTGAATATAAAGAATCCTAATATACTTGTCATGTTACTTTTTTCATGAAAGATGAATAATTTACATATTTTACTAGTACAACAAACCATTAACAGACCAGGGGTCAATGTGTTGTTCACGGCTTAATGTGAATGATCTGGATTTAGTTTAATTAAACACTGCTTGCACTGGAGGCAACAGTTAGTTAAGTTTTGAAACTATAAATGCCACTAGGCTATATATTTGGCCTCTGCAGTTTTTCATTGGTCACGGTGTTGTTTCTGTCAGTCTATGGCTGCTGAGTCAAACGCATCTCAGATTATCCAGTAGTCGTGACTGCGCGCGAGAGAGGGAGGACCGGATTATAACCGCGCAAAAATCGGTTCCTTTATCACACAAACGTGTGAATCATCACTGCATCAGAGCCCACTTCACCCGTAACAACCGAGAAGGCGCTGACTCATGAACAGCTGCCTAAAAACCCGACCAATGATGCGTGACACACTGAAGCACTTTAGTGACATCTGCTGGTGAGAAAGCGACAGTGCATGTTTACGTCTCAGAATCACATGTAAGTTCTAATGTATCTAACAAACACACTGACTCACAGCGTAAAAAAAGAGTCCACGACACCAGATACAGCTCTCAGAGCATGACGGAAAACTAACAAGGGTTCTCGGTATTAGACTGATGTAATGACACTCTCTTTGACACATCGTGCTTACTGTGTCACCCTTATAATGAACGACCTGAACAAATCCAATGATTTCTTGTTTTTTTATGACCATGAAGTTAAAAGTACTAAAACACATTTCATTACACCTTGAATACACTTGAATGTACAATTTAATCATTAAGCTTTCAAACATTTATTAACTGATTGATTGATGGATGGATGGATGGATTGATTGATTAAAGGGGTCTAAAGGTGTTTCTGCCTGCCTGGGGTTCTTGTCACAATAAAATAGCTTCCTGCATTACACTAAACGCTGGCTTTGATTTGGTGGATATTTATTACTAATAGAGCCTTATACTGCTTATTTTTTATTATGCTAAACAGTAATAGATTATGCCAAATAACATTTCTTTCTTTCTTTTTTAAATTCCAGTCTTTTAACAAGACTTTTTTTTTTTTTTCCATTTATCACAATCTCCCAACATCTAGACATTTTTTACTTTAAGCCTCTCCAAAAACATCAAAATGAATTTTCAGAAATTGAAATCGTCCAATTATAAAATAGGTTTTTCAATTGCATTTTATTATGTATAATATTTGTATTCTTATTTTTACTATGTATAAATATTTTTTATGTATAAATATTTTTGCTTTTCCTTTTCAAGCGCATTTCAATGTATTTTTATATTTAAAAAAACATCTTTCAAGAAACTCATCGATGTCCTTAATGAACAAAGTAGTTTTTTTTCACCATTCTCTGAAAACCTAGATATATTATACTTTAAGCCCCCCAAAAATTAAATATGAAAACAAATGTATAAAAATTGAAAATAAGTTCATAAAAGAGGTTTTTGAATTGCATTTTAATGATTTTTAATAAAAAATAAATCTATCTAGAAACTCCAGTGTCCTTAATGAATATAACTGTGGGTATTTTCACCATTTTTTAAAAAGAATTTCAGTCTCTGCTAAAGGTTAGAGTAGTGGAAAATCTCTGAACACCTAGATTTTTTTTTTTTTTTTTTTTTACTTTTAAGCCCCACAAAAATAGCAAAATTAATTTTCAGTAACTGAAAATATTTCATAATAAAAGTTTTAAATAAAAGTTGTTTTTTAATTAGATTTTTTTTTTGGTTCAGATATCATATATCTAGAAACTGCACAGTCTTTGATTAATATAATTATGGGCCCTGGAGGTTCAATTAGGGAACCGCCTAAAGACTGATGACCTTTTCTTGCTTGGCGCTCCTGCCTGACCTTTCAGTGTAACCGGACCTCAGAAGCTGAGACTGTCCAGCATTACCTGATCCACAGCTGTAGTGACATGACAAAACACTGCTGCACACCTGCTCAGGTGTCACTTTGAGCTCAAGAGCAGGTGTGGCAGAGAGAGAAAGAGAGAGAGAGAGAGAGAGAGAGAGAAACAAGAATAAGATATGAAGTCACTCAGAAGGACAGATCTGTAGCTCTCTAGTAAGTCACCTTCAAATTAGCCCCTTCATTTCTCAATTTCTCAAAAGCTAATTTCACAGGCGGTTGCTTGGATTTGGACTCGCTGGATATAATTCATTCTTCATTCTTTCTGACAAAGATTAAACAGACCGTGGGCCTTGGATTCCCATTGACAACGTCACTTTTTCACTTCCTAAGTGGATCGGTGTCACTGTCATCCAAGATGGAGTGAAGATGAGAGGACGAGAGCGGAGTCATGGCTTCTTCCCAGACAGCAGGAGAGACGGAGCGGCCAGTTTCAGAGGAAGGAAGCCGACAGGAGAGGGTAAGGAAGCATGACCAGCAGTATTTCATGTCAGAGTGTTTGCGGGTGTCCTTGTGTTTCAGACACTTTTAAATTATATTAAGGTTGACAAGGTGGGTCTATCACAGCAGCTCCCACAATTTCCTCCGGTGTCATGCTATCCATCATGCGCTCGCTTTTTTGTCATTAAGCAATGAATACACTTGCATGTACAACTTGGTCCTTAGGCTTTCAAACTTTTTTTTTTAATGAAGCATGCCTTTTCATGTAAATATCAAAGTTTTAAGTAGTTATTGGTTTGTATAACTAACTAACTAACTAACGGTGTTTCTGCCTGTGGGTTTCTAGTCACAGCAAAATGGATTTGGTGGACATTTATTACTAATATTTTAAAACAAAATAGCCTCACTACTTATTTTTTTTAATATGCTAAACAATAATACATTATGCCAAACAACTTACAGCAGCATTTCTTTTTTCAAGAATTTAAGTCTTTTAACAAGACTTTTTTTATTTAATTGCTGATCACCTCAACATTTTTATTTTAAGCATCCCCAAAAACATCATCATCATTAATATTATTATTACTACTATTAGTAGTTTGTTTTTCATAAATATACACTACTTGTCAAACATTTGGAATAATTGAGATATTTTTTTATGTTTTGAAAGGAGTTCACCATGCTCACCAAGATTGCATTTATTTGATCAAAAACACAGCACAATAAACAAATAAATAAATAATTGTTTTCTGCTGTAATATATTTTCAAAATGTAATTTACTCCTCTGATGGCAAAGATACATTTTCATCTGCCCATACTCGCATGTCACATTATCACATGATTGACAACAGTTGTGCTGTTTATACTTTTATTCAGAAAGGGTGAAGAAATGTATAATGTTACAAAAGATTTTTTATTTCAAATAAACACTGTTCTTTTGAATGTTGTATTCATCAAAGAATGAATAGAATTGTTTTCAACAAGGATGATAATAAGAAATGTTTCCTGAGCAGCAAATCAGCATATTAGAATGAATTCTGAAGGATCATGTGACGCTGAAGACTGAAAATTCAGCTTTGAGATCACGGGAATAAACTACATTTTAAA